CATATCCATTGTAAAAAAAAAAAAAAATAATAATAATAATAATAATAATAATAAAAAAGGCTTGAAATCACTATGGAACCTCCCGATTAAATAAACTAAATAAATAAATTGCGTTCTGCCGTTGCAGTGGCCATGACCAAATAACATGCTGTACTTTAAATTAGGTGCAAACATTCAATTTACAGACTAAATGCAACTTTTTCTGCTTGGGTTTTGTTTGTTTGTTTCCAGTGAAGACAGAGCCCTCAGCGATGGAGAGAGGTAGCCCAGCAAATACAAAAGGTATAAATACCACTGGCATTCATCACAGATTTAACACTATTAGAACTCATTCCATCCAAAAACAAACTGTGCATAGCAAAGTGATGACTTGACTTTACAGATGATAAACCAGAGACTAAGGACATAAGAAGCAATCCTCCAACTAGAGTGAAGCTGCCATCCATCAACAAGCCCAGCCCACCTCCAGTCAAAGACAAACCTAACAAGGTTTTACCCAAGTGAGTGCTGCCAAAGCAGGTCTGATGTTCTCTGTTGCTATTAATCTTCATGTGCAACATTTAAGATTTACTGGCGACTACATCCCACAACTCAAGACACATAAACAGTAATTCATTTGCAAGCTTTCTAAAGCAACAGACCCTTAAGAAATGTCAGAATACTTTTGCCTCTTTGGTCTGGCACCAGGAGTGGAGCCTTTAGATGTTAAAGATTTTGGTTGCCACCACCAGTTGCTATGGTGTCCTTAAAGAAGAATGCCAGGATGCCCAGCCTTCAGCAACTTAGTGGAAACTTTGGGATGAGTCAGATCAGGACTAAACAGACGAGAGCGGCCTATTTCCTGTTTCCTGAGCAAAACATGAACACACAAAACTGAGAAAACAAAAAAGGCACCGTCTTAAAGGCTGCAAATGGACAAAAAGCTTTTTCCGAGAAGTGTTTACAAGGGAGTATGTTTAAATGGGGATTCATTTTCAGCTCTCTTGAGAACTCTTCTTAATTGTTGTATAAAATCACTCTTTTAGGCCTTTACACTTAAGATGTTTTCTAAAAACCTCATGTCAGATAACATCAGTGTGTGTAGGTTATGCAAGCCGAGCTGTGACTTTGGAGACCTGCAATGATCTCATGTGTGTTGCGAAAGCCAAACATACAGTATGTCAGGACAAAATATGACATAGCTGCCACACTCTGCACCTGCACCCATCAGAGTTTAGGTTTTTTTTTTTGTTTTTTTTTAACTGAACTGCATCCTGTGCACCACAACAATTACTTTCAATAGATCAGGAGAAATTCAGGTTCTTTTCGCCCTCGTGTTTCCCACTTTTCATTCACTCTCATAATGTAACATTTTACTCTTATGTTCAGTAGAACCAATGATGACGTGCCTCCTCCTCCTCCACCAAAACAACCAGAGGGGAAACAGGCTGACCAGTTTGATGGACTGGATGTACAGACTGAAAAGCTGAGTCATCCTACAGCAAACAGAGCCAAACCCCCTCAGAGGAGACCACCTTCAGGCCTGGTCACAGCAGCCTCAGTAAGTCCAGTCCAGCAACAGATTAATACTGATGAATCACCTCCTTATGACAACCTTTGCTTGTATGAACGGTATGTAGGTATGAACAACAAGGAAGTAACAATTATACACTAAACACTTGTGCTAGGAAATGCAACCTGCTAAACCACAAGGGTAGTGCTAAGCACTATTCTGTAGGTGAACTTTGCTACTTGAGTTTATCACGGCAACAGTGAGGCAGATCCCTTCTTTATCAGGTAAAAGCACTTGACCTACATTTTTGGTATACAGTGGGGCATTACTGGCTTCTGTGAATTGTTTTTCACACATTTCATGCCCACTTTCTTGTTTGATGGTATATATTTTTATTACCATTTCTAGTACAACTTGCAATTTTACAACAAAAAATGTTTTTCAAACTATGCCATGGGCTGTAATTGATTTTTGATTTCTTAGACTCACCCACTTTGCTCTAAGCTTCAGCAGTTACACAAGAAAAACTATTTTAAGAGAGGAAGAGACAAGAATTTCTGGACTTGCGCCCTCAGTGGATTAGAATGCAGTACAGCAATGAGATGCATTTCAACAAGAGAAAAGGCACTAGTTATAAACCCCAAGTTTTTCATGACCTGCCAGCATTCCCACTTTACACTGACGGCAACAAGTCTGTGCCTGATACCTGAGTTACAAAGTCATTCTGGGAAATGAAGGCATTCCTTCCCTAAAGTATCCCTTTATGGTTTGTAGTGGGCTGACAAAAAGACAGTTCTTAAAGCAGGTTATGAGGACTGATTGTTAGCTGAGATTGTCTTTAAGGCTGTGGCTGATTCTCTTCCACAGGCTCAGGGTGTCACTGACCAGACAGAACCAGAATCACAGCCAAAAAAGCTCCAAACAACAAAATTACCTGGCTTGCAAGAGGTTTGTAACTTTGATTTCCAGATTAAATAAAGCTGATGACTTTTTTTTTTTTTTTTTTTTTTTTTTTAAATGTCAGGATGAGTTTTTAAGTCCAATTTCAGCACTGATTCAGAAATTACAAAATGTCCATTGTGTAGTTTGCATTCACTTGAATAAGTAAATATTTTAGCATGAAGCCAGTGAAGTTGATTTGTCTGTACAATGTCATGCCAATCCACCAAAATCATTGCAGGGTACAGAAAACCTCATGACACCACCTGCAAAGCCTGAGCCTCAATCCAAAACACCACCTCCTGTTCGACCAGCGCCTCCCAAACTACTAGTGGATGGCAGAACTGTGACACATAAAGAAGAGCCAAGTGTGGAAAGCCTGCAGGCTGAGATCAAGGAGCTGAAGATGGCTCTGGAGCTGCTACAGGCACAACAGGAGTGAGTAGTACTCTGTAATGTTTAAATCTTAAAGCTGTTTCAGCTTACAAGAAAATCTTAGATAGTGATTTTTTAAAAATAAAACTGCATTGTCATCATGAGTCACATAGGGGCCTTCATAATATTCATGTTTCCAGTCTTTCCTAATTGAGATGACACAGACTGATCCTCTTTTACCAAATGTTTGTGGACACTAGCACAAACAGGAAGCGACTAATCAAATCTTAAGGGAGGAACACAAACTGTACTTCACATGCTCCATCCAGAAAAAAACTGGATCTTTTGCATCTCTTATCTCTTTGACTGAAACATCACCAAAGCCTGGATGGTAAACATGAGGCAAGCTGTGAGAAGTTGTGGGCACTTGATTTCCTGGCCACTGAACTTACAGTATTTTTTTGTTTAGGAGTCCAATTTTCTGCAATAGGGATTCAATCCAGAAAACAATTAACTACTTTAATCATAAACTTTACTGCCAAGTATTATCAAAAATACAAGGAATTTGACTCCAGCCCAGCAGCCCCCGATGTGCACAGCAATAAAAACAAAATATATGCAAGTTAAAAGAGCAAACACAGACTAGCTGTTCAAGAGTGTAATAGCCCGGGGGAAGAAACTGTCTCTGTGTCTGGTTGTCTTGGCGCAGTGCAGTGACCTGCAACGCGGTCCAGAGGGGAGGAGTTCAAAGAGTTCGTGTCCAGGATGTGAGTGGTCCAAATCAAACAAACAGACTAATCATTTAACAAGCAAAAATGGCAAAGTTTTGGTGGCTCCAAATTAAATGCCAGGACCTGAAGCTTTTGTTTGTTATATGATCATAAAAATTGGGGGATTTTGAATTGTTGTTCGAATAAAACAAACAAACTACATAAGCTTGGGCTGTGGGTAACTTTAGGCATTTCCCACCTTTTTTTTTTGACCACTCGCCACCACCCTGTGCTCCCTCTCCCTGCTCCACTTTGCTCTTCTACAATCTGCTACGCTCCACCACGCTCTGCCCAGCTCTTCAGATATTTGTAGTTATGAAATTACAAGAAACAAGAATGCAAAATGACTGGTTAGTGAGGTCAGTCTCACTCAAAACCTTTTAGAAGCCAGTACTGCTGTTCGATGAGTCTGGGTCACAGGAGGCTTTGGCAGAACGTTTCCATATTAAGACAAGTGAAGTGCACTATGTTGACTCTTAAACTGACTTTTATAATGGTGATATCTGGAAAAGTCTATTGCTGTTAAGCAAGCAAAAGACACTTATTAAGTTATCACTTATTAAATTGTCACTAATTCACTTTAATAGCAGAAGTTTATACGCAAACTTTCAGAGTATAAAACATTATCTTAGTAGTCTAAAACATTCTTTTAATATAATTGCTATTTCTGAAACTTGGATGAATAATGTAAGGGGAGTGGATTTTGACCTTGATGGGTACGACTTGGTATGCACAAACAGAGAGAATAAGATGGGAGGTGGTGTGGCCTTGTACATAGATAAAAACTTTTGTTATAAGAAAGTGGAGAAAATGTCAAGGGTGGTTGATAATTTGCTGGAGTCTGTGACTGTAGAAATACTCGTGGAAAAAAAGAAAAATGTTGTAATAAGCTGTATTTATAGAGCACCTGGAGCCAGCATAGAAAAATTTAA